AAAGTACATGAAGATCATTTCGGTAGGAAATTCCGATTTTTCTGAAAACTTGTATTCGACCTTTGGTATGCTTTGAGAATATCATTTAAATGAACACCAATATACCCGATATATTTCCCAAAGGATACTACATCATTGACATATCTGAAATAACTTGTCTGTAAAGATTGTAGAGCTCATCATTCGTATTTGTCATAACTGAAATGAAACTGTCTGCAAAATCCAGAGATATAAATACAGAAAGCAACTAAATTACATTGGTCTAAGAGACGTAATTATACATGTATTACTCATAAGCAAAATGTTAACAAAACGACACTTCATTCATTCTGTTTAGTTTAAAAAGTTTATTTTAAACAGGTACACACATTTTCGATTTACAAATAAAACTTTAAGATACATGAAATGCATGAAAAAGGATCCGAAGGAACCGAAAACTATCTATTGCTAAAAGTTTTAGTGTGTATATGTTTGTATATGGAATTCATTCATTTATACTAAGTCCAATAATTTAATTATAATCAAAATTTTAAAAACACTTAAGTTGTTTATGATTTTTAGAGATGCGTTCATTGAATGCCATCCTTCCTAGTTGATCTTTGTTTTCATATTTTGATAATGAGCCCTCCTTCGCCAGAATTGTCTCTCCTAACTTTTGGTGCCAAATTTGGTGCGGTTGTTTTGAAACATAGGGACTGCGTTACGTGAACGTTTCTGTCCCTTGTTGCTTTTTTATTATATTCAAATTAATCCAGAATAAGCCCAGTTTATTTACAAACTTGGGAACGGGAAGAGACATAAGGCATAGTTAGTCTTAAGGTGAGAAGACAAGACATAACGATGAAATGGTATAAAATGCAATTGAAAACGAGAATAATACTGAACCATGACAGTATTTTACTGTCATTGATCAATGTAAGTGACAGTTTTATGTTAAAAAGCGTACATCATCGTAAAGAAAACAATGTCATGAAGTGTTAAGAAAAGTTATTATAATATATAGGTTTTAAACATCTAGCTTAAATCAAATATGAAAGAAAAAAGATTAGCAAGAAAAAACGGCGCCATGAGTGCAACCCAAACATGATCCAGCAACACAGGTCTACCGGCATGGAGCCTAGCAGGACGTCAAAGTTAAAATATCACATAATTGACAAGAACTGACCGATTTTCGACTCAAGCTGTACCTTGAATTAAATCGCCAATAATATTAAAAATATATGCATATCGACAAATTACAATCAGATTAAAATATATGGTTTTTATTAGCAAACCAATACTGTAAAACGGTACTTTTCTTGGCGATGAACATTTATGTTTTTGCCAGAAACAAATTGAAATATAAAAATAAAATTACTTCGTGTAATTTTAAGTGACATTTGGCAGTATGCTGATTTCTTCAACATCACTGTTAGCATTATAATCAACATGCACAAATATCTGAAGATTGACTATCATTATTTTTATTTATCCAATTACACATCTTCTATCCTAAATAGTAAATTTCTGTGACATTATTGTGATTGCTTAATAGTTGTCAACACTGAATGTTTATGATAGAATACAAAAACTGCCTTACATAATTATGAGACTACCCCCACTTTCTTTATCTATATATTTTAAAGGGCATTGGGCATTTATAGACAGTTTTCATGAGTCACATGGGATATTGATTACCAATAAAAATTAAATTATAAAATTGAGATCAATCAAGGCAAAATGCAAAATTACTGCACATCCTAAGAGCACAATGTCATTGTTATTAAAGGAGCCAGTAAATCATGAACTATAATGACTATAGTGCATTGAAGTTTAAATTGCTGGAGATATCATAGAGAAGAACGATTTATTTTCATAGTGTATTATTTTTTCTTTTGATCACTGTTACATGTACGACTATAGCTTATCCTATATATCATTATAAATATTAATAACATGTTTAAACTACTAATATGTCACAGCATTTAAAAGACTAATTTAGTACAATCCAATAGAGCTGTATGCATGGGCTATAACTTTGAAACGCCACAAGGCAAATGACATGCAGAACTAGTTTATTGACAAATGGCATACAGAAATAGTTGATTTAACTGCTGCGTTTTGTTTTTCGAAAAAGAAGATAATAGATCACTACTGAATAAACAGCAATAACTTACCGTTTTGAAACATCATACACTATTTAACATGGCAATTTGAGTAATGACTTTTCTGTCGCAATTTAGATAAATGTGGTGAATATATATAGCAGATGTAGTTTCTTTTTTTAAAAATAATCTTTATGGTTCATAGTTTCTCCCTATTATAGTGTCACATTATAAAAATATAGACTTTCATTAATCAATCCAAAACATAATGAAGTAAATATACCCAAACTTGACAAGTGACAGGTATTTGTTTTACATTTTAACAATGCTTTATACCGTAAATATGTTAAAAACTCAATAGAAAGTTATTTACTGATTCTAGCGGTCGCATACAATTGTTTAAATTGATACGATGTAATACTTTTCAACAAGTAAAATTGATAGTTCCACAGAGGAAATGTGTCTTTAAAATTGTTTATATTATGTTTGATCGAGTTTTACATGAAACGGTATAAGTATTCAAATGAAACAAATCGCATGGTTGCGTAATTTGATAGAGCATGTAGATTTATTGCGAACAATTCGTTGTATCCTACAGTTTTAAGACATGAAAATAATTGCTAAGTAATCTATTACTCCTAGGAGCAATCACTAATAATTGTTTAAAGTCATAAATTGTCAAATGAAAGTACATTGCACTATAAAATTCTATAGAAATGATTGAATTTACATGAGTTTGAAAACCCTACAATAAACAATACAATAGAGCCAGATCATTCGAGTATTGTTTTACAATATTTTTCATGTAGGTTTATTTCAACGGATAAAATGTCTTTTTATAGCAATTCGTGAAGGATGTTGGACGTTTCTAGATTGTTTTGCATTTTGCCTAGAGTTTCGAACGTTCAATGAACACAATCGTCATTGTACGCTTAATTTGGGTTTATGTCAGGTAGGTTCGAAGGAACTGCTGTTCTTGAGCATTGATTCATCCTTCAACAATGCCTCCCCTCCCATGTCTATCCCTCTCGCAGCAACTTGACTTTCAATTGTTTTTTCAAGAACGTCCTTTTTTGCAAAACTTTTTATACAGTTATATTTGAACGTCATTTTTCATTACTTTTACGCGCAGTATTTGACATATTTTAACAGATGAATTTATTTAGAAAAGTTATTACTGTAAGTCATGTGGAAGCCTATTGGATTTTTTGTCATTACAAAAATTGATATATAGCTTTATATCCAGAATTTACTGTTGATCGGTTAGTGGAGACGGCTTACAAATACTCCCTCTAGCCTCTTTAAACTCTGTGTTATGTTGTATATTACTTCAAAGGTGTATTATTAAAGAATGTAAATGATTTATGCTCGTTTGAATATAACGAATAAAAGCATCAGTACTTTTTCTTTTAAGTAAGCCATATTAATTTCATTTGAAACTAACAACAAATAGCATAATTTTTCCTATGGGAGCGTTACCATCAATTTAAAAAGGCTATTGTTTGCTAAATTGAATGCATTCACATGAAAACCCTACAAAACAATGACATGCAGAGGCAATCGCTTTATGCTTATTTTCGTTTTGAAACGGAATATTATTTTGCAAAAAAGACTGCTATTTATAGGCTCAAACAAAGAACATGTCAATCTAAATATCACCCTTTCTCCAGATCTTTCGACCCGTGCGACTAGTGCAGACCAAGATTATGGTAGGCAGGGTCGTGTTTAGACAGTTCATATTTTGACATTTTAATGATGATGGCTTTTTAGAGTCTATTTCAGATATTGAGATATTTAGCATGAAAGGTTTTATTTGACAATTTTTTTCTTTAAAGCATGACAATTTTGTCCATTATTTTGAGTGTTAACGGTTAAAGATTGATTTATGATACTGAGTGAATATTAAATCTTACAGTTCTTGTGCCGTGTAACATACGGTGCTTTATTGTGTGTTTTTTCGGAGGAAAAAAAAAATATCTATAGAATTACTTCTTGAGGAAAAATCGCTATATTTTTTATAAGGCGAAAACACGTGTTTAAATAGTCAGAAATTCCAACGCGCTTTAAAGTGCGCTTTGACGCCTTATCTGTATATGCAAGCTTCATAACCTCTGAATCCCTTTCAGAAATGCTAATGAATCATATTTGTTCCGCCAGTTAGCTTACAAGCATTCCTTTATATGTTGACCATACTCCGCTTTTCTGGTATGGCATGTACGTGCCGCATTAAGGTTTATAGTAACGTTTAGGTTTATTTAGGTTTATGTTCTCCATTTTTTTTAAATAACGGTATCAATATTTTGTTAAGTGATGCAATGTTTTTTCTTTCACACATGTAATTATGTTGAAAATGCGTATGCAATTTACATTTTTCAATAACCGCCCTATAAACACATCTGTGCATGTTCTTAATTCCAAATTTATTATTTTATGACAATCGTCGAATGTTAAGAATTCATCATTTAACATAAATGGTGAAATTTTGTACATACAAACATCAGCAGATATGTATTGCAGTAACAATGAAAGATTAAATGACACACGTTAGTGCCATTCCACGAAAAGCGGCGTAAGCTACCAAAGTAAAAGAAACGACGAGACTTGAAAGTAATCAGCACCAAGTACTACTTTTGTTATTGTTGCATGTTTGACTATGTTTTACACACTCTATAAACCGTATGATTAACCTCCTTATGGGTGAAATCAATTTGACAAGCTTCATTTTCATTCACGCTCCGTCATTCTGAATGCTTCCCTACACAAAAATATCAATTATGCAAGAAATACTTCAGAAACAATAACCAATTGCAAAAGTATTTTTTGCTTCTAATGTGTTATTTTTTCACGAATGCACAATTCATATAAATATCCCCAGGAATAGCGCACCAAACCATTTCTCATAGGAAAGTACATTGAAGAAGATTTCTAGATTTGAAGGAAGTTCGATTTATAAGCAAATCTTTATATAAGTAGTTACAATTTTCTGGTCATATTGATAAAGAGAATAAATAAAAGAAATAATAACAATCGGTACTCATGATATTGCTGATAATAAAAAAACATGGAATTTTCTAAACAAATCACGTATGTATCTGCAATTGTGATGACCATTACCTGTTTAAACTTTGTGAAAGGAAAAACACAGACCTCTGCTTTCATCACGCAGGTCCAAACTATTTCAAATAGACAGTCGTCTGCTACGATAGAATGTGCGTTCAAATTAATGAAGGATGCTTCAAACGGCCATGTCACGAGAATTGCTGAAGGAACAGACTACTGTGAACGACAAACAAAGGCATGGCCTAGTCCAGCGTTCGAGCAAGGATTTGAATACCACAAACTGACAACACTACTTCATAATTACAAGCCACTGGTAAGACAATATCTTCCTAGATGTATGTTTGTTTACTTTCATTTACAGCATTTTATTTAATTATCTTGACGCTTGACGGCATTCGAAAATTACGTACAAAATTTGGAAAAAAAATCATATATCAAAGAAACAAGACGTTTTAAACATGAATTCATGAAGTTTAAGTCGTGAATTCGTGAACTTAGATTGTGAATTCATCAAGTTGAAATTGTGAAGTTCAAAGTGTGAATTCGCGCAGTTGAAATCGTGAATTCGGTAAGTTTAAAACTTGAATTTACGAATTTAAAATAGAGAATAATTTCATAAAGAAGAGTTTTTAATGTCCCTATCGGTCTGTACATCTATACTGAAATGAATTCTTACTTGATATTAATCTTGGAAGAGACATGGTTATAAAAGGAACCATCGCCATTAGACCTCTTATAACGGATCAACATAGTCTTATTTCACAAGTTGCTAAAGAGGAGATATATCTAGTTTTCATAGATATAATGGAATACTTAGAAGCCAGCATTTTCATAATTATGATGATAATCTCGATTACTATGATCATTGTGAAATAGATTGTTAATAATTACGAATAAAATGATGATGACGATGTTATACCTGATTAACTTTATATTCATTTTTGTTCACATCGAGGCCTTTAATAATCGTATTACATACATTAAGGACAACAACTTGACAAAACAACAAGCTAAGAAACAGCGAAAATATTACGAGATTAGTAATAAGCAATCGTTTTTTATAGTGTTTGACTGTTTGTACAAATGCAAAAATTAAATGATGGAAAACATCAGATAACCAATAACTAGTTCAGTGATTATTTTATTTCTAGCTTGGGGACTTCTACAATGAGGTTGGCAGTCATTATCTGGACTCAGAGATAAAAGTTGGAGACCGCTTTATATTTATCATACAAAGGACAGGCATAGGCAGGTATGATGTATTTTCTTTTTATTTCTGTTTTTATTTCTTATATGTTAAACCACTATTTCAGTATAATTTCTTTCCATAAAATTAAAACTTTTTTTTAATTCAAAATAAAAATTTGAATTGTGGCACACTTTCTTATTAAAACCTCATTATTTTAGATCGCATTTTTATAACTAGGTAACGTTTTGGACTTAATGTTATGTCATCTTAATGAAGTACAGTTTCTTGTATTTTCTTTTTAATGCAGCCTTTACAACCTCTTTATCCATGTTTTTGTTGTTGCGGTTTCTTGTTTTTATTGTTTTGTTGTAGCGGATGTTTTTGTTGGGTTTTTCATGTATAGTTTTTTATTGTTGTCGGCGCTATTTATTTGTAGGTTTTTATTCTTTTATTTTTTATTGGGGGTGAAAGATGAAAAAGATGATTCTTACCCAATTCTACCTTTTAACATTCACAAGATAGCGAAATAAAGTTTGTTCATTTCGCCCCCACCCCTTTGGTTCTTGTCGATGCACTTGTTGAACGTCCCTTCGGCGCTCGTGTGTCCTGTTCCGGTTTCAGTTCGGTGCCTTCTTTGTGCTCTGCTCTTGTGGCTTGAATGTGTCTGGGGATGCGTTGCCTTTGCCTTGTTGTCCTTTGTTCTCATTATTTAATATGAACTAGCATTAATCAAGTCATGCCTTTTTCGAAAATATCGTATTGATAAAAGTCAAATTTTCAGTCTTTTCATGTTCTTATTGAAAAAGATACAGACCACTATTTTTGCTGCCGAAGTTCATTTCTTTTATAATCCTGAAATATCGATACATGTTGATGTCAGAGAAGTTGTTAAAATAAGGAAATAATTTTTTCCATACAAACGTGAGATGTTATATTCCCGATTCCTAAAGATCGTTCGGCACGACATTATTGTTGTGCTTGTGGTAATTTAGTTCTTTCTATTTGGCTATTTTCTAATTGGGTGGTTCCAGTATTCCACACTTGAATACTGTTTAATCACCGTTAGGATATGTGGCCTGCTTTTAAAATTTGACTTTTGACGTCTTATCTGTGATATGCAGGCTTCATAACCTCTGATCCCCTTTCAAAATTCAATTTAATTTTGTTTAGTTTCGCAAATTGTTTTCTCGTTTAGGGCACACGCAGTTTTTTACTTGGCGACCATATGCCGCTTTTCATGGAATGGCACTTACATGTGACATTGAAGGTTCCATGATAACTGGCATATGAACACATTTGTGGATGTTTCAAAATTCAAAATTATACCAGTTCATGTTAAATGTTGAATTCTGCTTCAGGTGGTGCTAGGGGGCGTGGACGGTATTTTGCACTTAACAATACCGTCCATGAACATGCCCAATCAAACCGAGCCTGTAACATTTGTAATTTTGACGTGCTGGGCTTTCTTTAGGGATTCTTATTTTCTCTATTTTATCGCCACATCAGCGTTGTTTGTGCCGTGTGGAGGCTGTAAAACGTCGCCCTGTACATTCAATCAGAGATGTTATACATGTATTTCCTATTCCTAAAGATCGTTCGGCACGACATTATTGTTGTGCTTGTGGTAATTTAGTTCTTTCTATTTGGCTATTTTCTAATTGGGTGGTTCCAGTATGCCACACTTGAATACTGTTTAATCACCCTTAGGATATGTGGCCTGCTTTTTAAATTTGTCTTTTGACGTCTAATCTGTGATATGCAGGCTTCATAACCTCTGATCCTTTTTCAAAATTCCATTTTATTTAGTTCCGCCCATTGTTTTCTCGTTTAGGGCACACGCATTTTTTAACTTGGGGACCATATGCCGTTTTTCATGAAATGGCACTTACGTGTCACACTGAAGGTTCCATGATAGCCGCCTTATGAACACATATGCAGATTATTCAAAATTAAAATTGTACCAGTTTCTGTTAAATGTTGAATTCTGCTTAAGCTGGTGCTAGGGGGCGTGGACGGTAGTTTGCACTTGACAGTACCGTCCATGAACAGGCTCAATCAAACCGAGCCTGTAACATTAGTAATTTTGCCGTGCTGGGCTTTCTTTGGGGATTCTTATTTTCTCTTTTTTATCGCCACATCAGCGTTCTTTCTGCCGTGTGGAGGCTGTAAAAAGTCGCCCCGTACATTCAATCAGAGATGTTATATTTTTGATTTCTAAACATCGTTCGACACGACATTATTGTTATGCTTGTGGTAATTTAGTTCTTTCTATTTTGCTATTTTCTAATTGGGTGGTTCCAGAACTCCACACTTGAATACTGTTAAATCACCCTTAGGATATGTGGCCTGCTTTTAAAATTTGTCTTTTGAGGTCTAATATGCTGGACTTTCTTTAGGGATTCTTATTTTCTCTATTTTACAAGTTTGTTAATTTAATAACAACATTAAAACTGTTTTACAGAATGTCGATCGATTTCAAAAACGAACAAGAGGCGACAACAATTTTAGAATTCAGCGTCAGACCAGACACATTTAGGATATACAACAGAATTAATGGAACTTATGGTAAACAAGAAAAGGGCCCACACCCATTCCCAGATTTCAAAACATACAAGCTAGAATTTGAAGTGCAGGAATTGCGTTGGATGGTAATCAGCTTTTATAAAAACAACGTCGTTTGATTCTTTTCTCACGTACAAATAGATAACATAGCTCCTATCTAATTTATATGCAACTTTTTTATTTATAAAAAGTTAATAAAAGTTAATGTATCCGTATATGTTGATCATTTATATAAGCATGAATTGCCATACTTGTTTATGTCCGTAACAATATGCAACAATAGATTTACTATTCATTTACAACTTGTTTTACTATTTGACGTTTTTATAAACATATAATTTTAAAAACACATTATGCTTCTGAAACAAACAATTAAAGTGTTGTTTTTTCTTTATAAATGGCAGTCAAGACACATGCAAGAGTTTTGTAATGTTTAAATGATCGTTTCAGAGCATGTTACATGCTTAAGTGAAAATAGTATTGTTTTATTTGCGATTTTACACACTGCCTTCTTAAAGAATTAGTTTGCGTTTTTAACACATTGTCTTCTAAGAAACAATTTTTATGTTATTTAACTATATGAGTATGTAATGCCACATCTATTTAAATGCATGCAATATAAGCATGGCCATTGGAAATACTAAATTTTGTTTGTTTTATTTACAGATATACGTTGACGACACATATTACGCAAGGTTTGTTCACCGGCATCCCGTCACGTTGATCAGAGAGATCCAAGTCTTTGTTTCGCCGGTATTCAAGTATCTCTCAAAGGCATTTGACCCAAGGATGTAAGGAAATACGAGAGTTTATGTTGAAAAAAAAGCGAAAAATATGATAAACAAGATCGAAGTCACTCTGTTTCTTTAGACAATCTGATACATCGTGAGCTTTGCTTTTATGAAATAACATTAGAATCATGGATAACCGTTTTGGTGGAAAGATGAACATGACTGCATACATTTGAGTAAATGGAAACGGGAACACTTTCGGTATTGTACACAAAGTGGCTTGAACTTAAAATTTAGACTTTATATTTCTAAAACGCATAGCGCCCCAACCCCACCTTTTTGTAGCTGAGTTGTTGATTTTATTGATTGCACGGTTGGTTAATACGATTAACTTTTGGATGATTCACATATTTTTTCTGGGCGATTGATCTTATGGACCAAATTGATTGATTTCGACAAAGTTTTGAGTTATTGTTGTATTATAAAAAAAATCTGCAATTTTATCAGCAAGCTCATTTCTAAGTCATGCAATTACAACATAAGATCACTAGTTGTCACTTGTTAAAAGAAGTTTACATTTCAATATAGTTACAGTTCAACACCTTTGAGCGCAAGAAAATTTGAAATTGAATTAATCATGATCAACTTTAAAAGTTTAATATCAAGCAGTCATGTCCAGTATATACATGTAACAGCCATGTAATAATTACCCATTCTGCTGTACAACGTCATGGGTCACCGGTGAGCTATTTATTTAGCTGTGGAAAGCCAGATAACGTTTTCATCAAATTTTGAGTATTTTATACAATCTCTTTCAAGCACAATTATTATATATTTTAGAGAACTGGCGAACTTGTTTACTTTGTTTATATGTCAAGTGATTATTTGACTGTGTATATTTGCATAATTGTAGTTTTATTACTTTTTGTGCTTGAATAAACACTCTATGTTTAAAAATCAGTCTTTTGTTAGCATGTTTGGTTGGCTTTACGGCGTACGAAGACTGTTAATGCCCTTTGACACTTTAATGTATGTGACGAATTAGATGTAAATGCAAGTACTCTTTTAAAGTAATGCGGATCTAAAAAAATAAAAATAATATTATAGAAACTCAAAAATTAAAATGATCTATCCTTATATATACCGATTATTTACATTAGAGTAAGAGACTATATCCGTATCATTAGATAGTTGCACACAGTTTAGGATTATTATTTGAATTAAATGTGACATATTTCTGTCAATGTAGAAAATATTTTAGTGCTATTTAAAACGCACACTGAAATGGAAACAAAATGTGAATATTGTATAATATTTTGATTTTTAAACAAAAGAACTATACAATCATACTGAGTGAAATAATTGTACAAATATAGAATCTGTATAATCGGATAAGATAGGAATTGAGATATGTTAGCCATTTGCAGTAGCTTTTAAACATAGTTGTTCCCTTCGTGCCATTTAATTTTGAATAAACCGTTTCATTAAATTGACGAAAGAATTAAGGTGAAAAATGATTTAAATTTGTCGGTAATAAAAAACATAAACAATATGGAAACCAACAGTTCGTTTACCATTCTTCGCATTTTAAAAACGTACCACTACCGGTCATGAGTTAGCTGAATCAAATCAATTCTGCTACATTTTCAATTTGTCCGTTTTGGGCTTCTCTACGGACTCTTTTGTATCTTATTTAAGTGTACATTGGATTCAAAGATCGTAAACAATAAAGTACAAAATTTCAACAATCAGATCGTATTCAATTCGTAATTGAAAACAAAATGAAGGTAACAAATGTTTCAGCTTTGTACGGTCATTAGAACATCGAAATAAATGTTTTTATTATCACAAAGGCTTATTGTCTTAAATGTAATTAAGCATATGTTAAAGAAAAATAAGTGGGCAGTTAACAAGCAGTAACTGTTGATGAATATATTTAATGGTTTTAATATGGATTTGGCATATCCTGTTTGATCACAAATAAAAACACTTTTTGTTATAGACATTTACTATTCTAAAGGAAATCCTTTTGCGCAATTGTTTCCGTTCTTGAAATGTTAACGAAAGTTTCGCATTCGAATGATCGGGATATAGGTTTAAATTTCTTTTACAAAAAGGTTGATTCTCTTTACCCATACATTTATCAAGAAAAACAAGGGGAAAAAAGCGGCAAAGCTATGAAGCTTGTTTGTATGCAATCGATTTTACTAGCTTTTTTCATAGCTTTCCGTTTTAGTGCCAAAGTAGATCTATATTTGAAATTTACATGTTATGTTTTAAGGCTTTTTGGCCTCATTGGGAGACCATCACTTGACTCATTCAGATAGCAAAAGCGAACCACAGACATTCTTCTAACTGACTATTGAGTTATATTATTACGTAAATCATCACCCAGGCTATTTACCGTATACCAGTATTAAATGAAGTATATACGGAATGTAAACCGGTTTCCGACAGAAGGAAAACATTTTATCTTAACTAAGTTCATCACATTCAATATCGATATTAGCTACAATATCATCAAACATATGAAATACCTATCGCTCAAAATGAATATTGAGATAAAGGTTTTCGAATCAAATTTGTTTGAAATGAAAAGATTTTTCCATTACCAATAATATAGTGGGTAGACAAAACAGACGCCACCTTTTAAAATTTATCATAAAATTGTGAAAGCACAAGGTCTCCTGAAGATTGTTTATATTCATTTTGAACATAAGCAAACATGTGCTGTGAAAGCATTTTAGCGTTCCAGAACATTTTCAACATCAACGTAAATTGAATGAAACAGGATTAGCGCATCAAAGGAATGATAGTACAAAAAGTAAAGAAATTTTCAAACTTTTAATAGATGTGTAATGTAAATAATGTAAAGAGTCTAAGTGTAATCAAGTGTTATAACTTCTTTAAAATTACACAATATATTTTGACACATTTCAAAAGTAAAGCTTTTTTGTATCACTTTTCGTGAAGTATTATAACAGTTTGATTCCCCAAAAAAAAGTCTGTTTTGTATTTTGGGAAAAAAAACTGGTGCAAAAAATGCTATGTGTTTTTCACTTTAAAACATTAAGTTTTAAACCTTTGACTGGCCCATGTCTGTTTAAATTTAAAACCCAATGTACCAAAATTAAAGGAAACGTTTTTCCCCAAAGTAAGGAAATTTTAATGCTGTTGGTTTAAAAATGTTGATTTCAAGCGTTTTGGAACCCAAACAAAAAAACAAATGGGGGGGATTAATTAAATTTTCAAAAGTTAGTTTGAAATGTTTTTTTTTGCCCTTTTAAAGTTTTTTACTTTTTTTGGTCCATACTCGGTTTAATTCTGCGGAAAAGGACTGGTACGCTTAAGCCAATGTCAAGGGGAAAACAAACCAATTTGTTTGCCTGGAATTTTGAACGCCATGGTCCCTTTTAAATTTTATAGATTGGGTGACACGCCCCCCTAAAGGGATATATAATCCTTTATATTTCCCCCGACTTTAAAATTTTTAAACTTTTATAAAAAAGGGTAAACAATATTTCAAATAGCATTAGCCCCCCCCGATTAAAAACAGATAAAAAGGGTTTTTTGTTTTTTGTATTTTTTTTGTCGACTTTTCAAAATAAATTTGTGTTCTTTCCAAAGGGAAATCATGTTTTCTACTCCCAAAATTTAATTTTTTAATGGGTAATTTAATTCTTTAAACCCAATTTTTATATAAGAATTTTTTTTTAAAAAAATAAGGTTTTAAAGGCTTATAAATAAAAGGTTTTATTTTAATTTTCACCCACCAAATGTAAGGGATACTCCCAAAGGAACAATAAATTTTATATGAAGAAAAACAGTTAGGGAAATAAAAGGGCTGAATAAAAACAAAAGTGAAAATTTTCCAAATTTAGCACTGGGTTTGGGCCTTTTTATCCCAGGGACCCTTATACGTTATTGTTTAATAGGGTTTTTCATTTTAAAAAAAAACAACCCTTTCATTTGTTTTTTAATGCACAATAAATATCCAAAAACAATTTTTTCAATGCACAATAAGCCCCCAAAATTTCTTTGTCCTCCCCGTAATGATATAATGGGACCCCCCGAGGACTGAAGCATTTGTTTAACCAAAATTTTATTTTTCAGAATTTTATATACAATTTTTCAATTTACAAAAATACAGAGACAAAATTAAATAAATTTTTTTAAAAAAAATGGATTAGAATGAAAGGGGCAACCATTCTTATGAAATTCTTCTTAAGTGAGTAATTACATATATAATAGGCGCTTCATAATTAATACATCTTTATAAAAACTGAAGACGAATATAATAAAAAAAAAACAAAAATCATGAGTTTATATTAAAAAAAAAAGAAAACACAGAATTTAAATATGTATTTAAATGCTTAAAAAACATAAAATAGTTCCATTGAATATATTTAGATGAATAATATATTGAAGAATGCAAAATAAATTAATAGATCGAATTAACATTTAAATTAATATATACATACAAATTTAATGAAAGTAGTATAGTATTTTAAAAGAACACAGAAAGGTGAAAAGGTATGATTTAGTGTTTGGGTGTTAATGCAGTTGAAATAATAGTTCTACCATGTCGACCTTCAACCAAACATTTCTGCAAGAGATAAGCTAAGAGTGGTATGTCTTTAATACAAAAACACATTTGATACATTACATAAACTTTCAGAAAAATACACGTTTCTTTTAAATTAACTTTTCAATACATTTAAGAAAAATTTACAATTTGAAACAAGATCATTAAATTGCATTTTAATTGTTATACTGATGTTTAATCAATATAAAATATGTCGCATTTAAATGAGGTAAACTCGTTTACTAACCTCTTTATGGTACGTAATATCAATTTCATATTCAAGAACTCTTAATGTTCAAAAGTCGTTTACCCATGGGGAAAATTTGATTGTCAAACAGAATGAAGATATCATTAAATTATCACAATCATTTTTTTTTTCTTAATTTGATTTTAATCATTTCCCTGGGAACTTTGTTATAATGTTTCGTTCTATAAGACTCATTATTAAGTTGACACAATTCTTTGATTATCAATTAACATAAAACTTTTAGATTTAATGAGCGTCTTATTTGGATCATCTTGTCAAAGGAAACTGTGAACACTTGTTCGTGTTTAAAGTTTGTTTCTACAGAATAACTTCAGCCAATCTGATGCACGTCGTTTGATTACCGGTCCGTCCGATAAGCTTAATAGGGAGAAAACAGGATACGTTAACCAGAGGTCGCTGGTTTTATCCTCAGGCGTGGCGAAATTTGTCCGTGATATAAATTTTGAACATTGAGGCAAATAGTCGTTTGACTCTCGCTGCTGATTCAGATATAAGTGTTGGAAATTTTCGGTCACGTACGTACAAATTGGCGATCACTAGATAGTTATCTCTGAAATCAGGTTAATTCTGACTTACAATCCGTAATTAAAAATCTAATTTAACATATGCCTAAATAAAGTGTTTGAATTTTTTTTCTCCAAAAGTCATTACTAACCTTGGAGGTAAAAATAATATGAAAAAGAAAGAAAATGCACACTACCAAACTTCGTTGTTGAATTTTTAAAAAAGTCGTACGAAGTTTAGATGTAGAATATAATTTAAGCAGCGCACTAATTTGCTGACTTGTCACTTTCTTTGAGAAAAATTCAACATAATAAAGAGCAGAAATATGCTCATATGTCTTTTTTTTCTTTTAGAGACTGAAATATTTTCCGGTACAGACATGAAGACATGAAACAAACGAGAGTTCGTCGAAAAGATCAGATATAAATGTCTTCATACAAAACGTTCGGTATCTTTCAATCCCATTTAAATGTATTTCCTGGTGCTCTGTAAGATTATTTTCAACCTTGAGACTTTACAATATGAAGTCATTGTATTTTAATATATATTAAAGGAACGGGGTTTTTTTTAGCTTTTTTTGCATCTAAGTTGTTATTCAAAAAATTTTGTTTGATTGTTAGAACCTTTTGTGGGAAATAAGCCTGTCTGGCAGTTATCGAAATTGACAATTCTTTTATAAAGTAGATCGTTGATAATTATTAAACTAACTTACTTTTTTAGTAGTAAAAAATGGGATAAAGTGCTTACTATTTTAAATGAAGTATACCAGAAACATCAACAGATAAAAACTTAACATTACAATATACACACTTGATTTGATATCATTGTAAATAGCGTTGCACCTGCTGATTCAGTAATTTTACAGCCGCCAACGATAAGTACCAGTAAATGTAAAT